TTTTTTTTCCTTCAAAGGGGCAAAAATGAGCTTCCATAGACTTTGGGGTACAATCAAAAACAAAGCTCAGCATAGTCTGTCACATGACTAGATGCACTCATAGACACCTGACAGTAGTTATTTGTATTCAGTTTGACATGAATATGTTCATCATGTGTTCAGTAAAGCTTGGACTTTGCACGTGTATACTTAATAATTTGCTCCTTTGTATTATTCTCCAGAGCAGTCACACATCAGAGGGAGTGTGGCCCTTACCGCAAACCTTCTCCACCTCCATGGTGAGATAYGAACTGAAGCCCCAGTCTTTCCACTTTGGTTACCGAGGACAATCAGCCGCACAAAGGGACTGCTCTGTTCTGGATGCTGCATTTGAAAGATACTTTGCTCTCATATTCTCAAACAACACTGCTGGTGAGTGATACTGTACTGTGTAATGAGATGAGAAATAGGCTACTTCACATGACCTGTCTGTATACTTGTTTAGTTGGACCATAAGTGTCAAATTCAGTCCCATGTTTGTACAACTGTATAATGACAAAAACTGTATGAAAAATAATTTATTATTGTTGTTGACTGTGGATATCATCTGTATATGGTCCAGCAATAGCACAATTTAAACCTAATTGTAAAAGCATGGAGATAGAGAGGGCTCTGTAAGCTTGCTTTGAATGTTTTGTTGTCATTTATGAATGGTTTTTGTTGTGACACAACTCACCAGTCAGCCAGCCTATTGGTGTAACACACTCAATGACAATAGACAGCACTAGGCATGTTCTTTTTTGGCATGTCAACAAGTAACATAAAGGCTATTTTTACATTTCTGTAAAATGTCAAACAACCACAATAATCATACTTATAACCAATAGGGAATGATAAATTCAGTGTGGATGAACCATTTACCCTTGAAATCAACGTTGATCATCATGACTGTGAGAGTTACCCAAAAGAGGACTCGTCTGAGAGGTGTAAGCATTAACACACATAGATTACAGCGTTTAATGTTGTGGTGAAAGCTGGAACAGCCACGCATAACAGAATTTGCTTTGGTTTGTGTGGTTTTTAGACAATCTAAGTGTCTCTACTGGACGAGCCTTTCTGAATGCAGAAACTGTTTGGGGTGCTTTAAGAGGTAAATATTATGGATACGTTATAATAATTGATGGAAGACATTTATATCACCTACAGATGAACAATGCTTAATTTAGTGTTAAAGGTTTGCGTACTCAAGTTCTTTGTGGCTTAAGTGTTCAATTGTCTTGTGAACATACTAATGAATGCTTTTTGTTTATTTTGCTCAAGCAGGTCTGGAAACGTTCAGTCAGTTGGTGTATCAAGATAATGTTGGCTCAGTAAGTCTGACTTTTTCTAATGTTTCATCTCACAAGATGTTTGTGATAAATACATAATCTCCAATACTCAAGCCTGTCTGGTGCAGGCCCTGACGTCAATAAAAATGGACAAACCGACTCTGTTTCTACTGTCCAAATTCAGAGTCAAAATGTCTATTATCAGTTTTTCTTTGGGTACCCCTATGTTGTAATTGTGTAGTCAGATTATCTGTACTAGGAATGTGTGGCTGTACCATCAACCCCACTTAACCACCCTCCAAACTTGCTAACTGACTGTCACTGTGTCAATTACATGGTAGAATCACATTCAAATTTTAAAAACAAATTGAAACTAAACATTAAAAATGTATATTGGAACACACAACAAAATCAGAACCACATGAGTCAACAAAAATCATCACCTGAAACAAATGATCTTCTGTGCATTTTTATATTTTAGTCAAGAAAATGTCCTATTTGAAGGGGTGGGACTCAAAAATTGTACTCCAGCCAGCCACTAATGGTGCCGTATATTCTTAAACTGGATCCAATACGGGATCCAAGTTGAAGCTGAAAAGGGTCCCAGTACACTCTTAAAATCCAGCTCTGTAATGTAAAAGAATAAGTTTGCCTTTATTAAAAATAAAGATGCATCTCAGAAATTTTTTTAAGATGTTGATTCCAGTTTATTCTTGTATGTTCAAATCTTTATTTTTTAAAATAAATTTAACTGTAATTATTTATTTAATTTCAATAAAAAATTATGTAAAAATCATCACTGTTTACGGGTAAGTGGGCAGGACTTAAATCCCCACATCCACAGTGCACAGACTCTGGTTCCAAAAACTTGGGTTATAAAATAATGGGGAGGAGCTCATTCTTTGTGGCTTCAACCTTCAGAATGCAGTTCAGTGTGTAGTTATAGTATGTTGACGGTGTGGCTCATGGTTATCGTGTGTTTTATTTTTCAGTATTTTGTAAATAAGACTGACATCGAAGACTTCCCCCAGTTTCGGCACAGGGGGATTTTACTGGACACGTCCCGCCATTATTTACCTGTGCAGGCCATTTTGAAAACTCTGGTAAAACTCAAACAGCATGATCCCACCTAGTTTGTGGCTTCTGTTTAACTGATTTTATACAGGATCACTGACATATACTGTATATATATATATATTTTTTTCTCAATAGGATGCAATGGCTTACAGTAAGTTTAATGTGTTTCACTGGCACATTGTTGATGACCCCTCCTTTCCTTACCAGAGTCAAACATTTCCAGACCTTTCCGGTAAGGTATGTAAACTGGAGAGAGCTGTCCTGAGATTACTTTTTTGTGTGACTGCATGTGAATAAAAGCTAGCTGGAAATCAGCCTCCGCTCTAACCAAAGATTTCTGGCTCTTTTTCAGGGGGCTTTCCATCCAGTGACTCACATCTACAGGCAGTCAGATGTGAGGAGGGTGATCTCATATGCCAGGATGAGGGGAGTAAGGGTCCTTCCAGAGTTTGATTCACCAGGCCATACACAATCCTGGGGAAAAGGTACAGTTATGAGTCACAATGAGTAGCACCTAAAACAGGATTGGGTGATTATCAAGTCTCTGGTCAAGTAGTCCTTCAAATCTCTCAGCTTTGAATGTCATAAAACACTTCAGAATCTGAATACACATGATTACTGTGCAAATGTGTGTTTTTTTCCAGGAACATGCATAATTAAATTCTTTACCACAATCAAGTATGAAAAGGCTGTGTATATCAAAAATAAATTTAAATTTGCATCATAGCCATTCTAAACACCCTGAAATTGGCTGTTTCAGACACTCCCACTTCAGCACGTCTTCACAACAATGCTTTTGGGGAAGGGTTGCTCTGTGGGGCTGAGCTCCAGGGAGGAGCTTTGTGTAAATAGGCAGTGCTTTGTACCAGCAAGTGTTTAGGCAGCTCCACATATCTACGACAGGAGAGTCAAGGATTTCTCAAACATGCATGAATAAATCAAAGCAACACTCTGGATCTGTTGCTGAGGGAATGACATAACATGATATAAAGCTCAATAAAGTCAGTTTTGCATAATACCACCACTTTTATGTCATATAATTAAAAAAAGGCAAACTGTTGTAGTAAACTGGAAAAGACTGCAGTAATGTGGAGGTTGTCCAAAAGCAATAAGGCTTTAAATTTTGACTTCTCAGGCCTTTTTGTGAAGTTTTTATGTTCTTTCTATACATATTCCTTTGGATTTTCTTTACGCAGTCTGCCTTCTTTCCATATTTGGTTCAGTGGGCATTCTGTCTGTTTTTGTGTTGGCCCTGTTATGAACTTAAGGCATACTGTATCACTGAGTATCCCCACCCACCAACAGTAGGAGTAGTCTGTCACGAATCAACCAAAACCATTGATCTCCATGTATTTGTTTCCCAGGCCAGCCTGGCTTGTTGACTCCCTGCTACAGAAGAGGTGTCCCTTCAGGCACTTTTGGACCTGTAAATCCAGCTTTACCGTCCACCTACCAGTTCATGGCGTCACTGTTTAAGGAAGTGGCATCAGTGTTTCCAGACTCCTATGTCCACTTAGGAGGGGATGAAGTTGACCTGTCTTGCTGGTAGACTAGTAAACCATTAAAATAATAGTACATAGTAAATTTATGGGAATACAATACACTAATATACAAGTGTAAAAACACAGAACTGTCAAAAATCACAAGTACCATATCCCCCACTGCTTGTTTCTGTAGGAAATCAAACCCTTCCATCCTTACATTCATGAAGAAGATGGGATTTGGAGTTGACTTTCCTAAACTGGAAACTTTTTACATGGAGAAGTAAGTTGCAGGGGGAAACGTTTGTAGATAGTTGTGATAAAAAAACGTTCCTTGACACATTAATACATACATGTTTTAACAGAATTGTGAACATTACATCAGCTCTCAACAAGACGTCTGTCGTGTGGCAGGAGGTTTTTGACAATAATGAACGAGTAAGTACCCTCCAACAAATAACTTCCATTATTATTATTATTATTATTCCATTGAGTTTTCAAATGAGGACATACAATAGGCTGTAGTTTGCGATACATATTTTAGTTTTCTGCAAATTTCTTTTAAATGTGTATTGTTTGAACGTTCTGCTCTGGTTCATTGGTTCAAAACGAACTAATTAACCAACAGAGTGTATCATGACATCATGTTAATTTGCAGTATGTCTGATGATGTGCAGCTTTGTGTTGCAGCACACTTCTCAGTCAGTGGTGGAGGTTTGGAAACAGGGCTGTTACCTGTGTGAGGTGCGCAGGGTGACTAAAGCAGGACTCCGGGTGATTCTGGCCTCCCCGTGGTATCTGGACCTGCCAGGACCCACACACAACTGGGCTCGCTACTACACTGTGTGGCCTCTTGCCTTCAAAGGTTCRTAAATATGACACACATGACCAGTTATTTTACTTTTAAAATATGGTTTTTTTTTTACTTTTCAGCCCAACCACAAGATGGCAGCATACACTACTGTTTCTACATCATTAATTGGACAAATCTACATTACAGAGAGTATAAATATAGTAGAGCTGTTGAACTTATCCTGTAATTAAAGCTGGTGCTTGTCTGAACATAGAGGCAATCAAAACAAATGAAAACATTAATTTAAACACAGACTGACTCACTTTGGATTTGAGGTGGTTTGATGAGTCTGAGGTGAAGTTTTTGATTAATGGTCACTCACACAGTCTGTTAACATCTATATTTTACTAATATAAACATGTGGGTTTTTACTGCTTCACAGGAACAGAGGAACAAAAGAAGCTGGTTATCGGGGGTGAAGTCTGCTTGTGGGGGGAATTTGTAGATGCCACCAATCTTGCTCCACGACTCTGGTAAAAGAAATCTCAAAGCTTGAAATACAATAAAATAATGTGTGCGATAAGAATCTAATTATTCTAAAACAAATAAAATCCCAGGCCGAGAGCAAGTGCTGCTGCAGAGAGACTGTGGAGCGATGAGAAGCAGACCTCCAGTGTGAAACAAGCTTTTCCCCGACTGCAGGATTTTCGATGCAGGCTCCTGAGGTCCGTTTGGCCCCTTAAGCACTCGGACCTGACCTACTTCATGAAAACAACATTCTCTCTGTTCTAATGTCTGCTTTTTTACTCTGCTTCACTTCCTGTTCAGGCGAGGGATCCAAGCAGAGCCTCTGGACGTGGGACACTGCAGACATGAGTACCAAGGTGTTTGAAGAGGAACATGCGAGTGTTTGGACATCAGGACTTTAACCTTGGTTAAAAAACATAAAAAAAAAATACAACTATGGTTTTGTGTTTTTTACTCTACAGAAAAAACAAGACTCTTTCTCAGGGACTTTTTAAAAAAGATAAACACTTTTAAACATTATTAACATTACTTTTTATTTCAAAACGTAATGAAATATTCAACCGATGATTAAAAGTAGAGGAATTTCAATTTACTCCATTAATCTGAACTTTTTTTCTCACTAAAGGCAATAAAATGTTATTGTTGTGCTCATCAAATAATGTCTTTTTATGTTTTTCAAGATGAACTTTATCTTCACAGTTATAGTCTTTTCTTTGATTATCAAAGCAACTGGCTTCAATTAAGCTGAGTTTTAGGAAAACAAGTGAACTAGTGGTCGATATGATCCGTTTGTAAGTCTATAAATATTCCAGCATCTCTGATTCATACAGCTTTAATCCACTCTAATCTGCTCCGTTTCCTCCTCTCCTGATCACAGTGTCAGTTGCACAATCTCCTTTTTAAAAACTGTTCTGGCCCTTTAGTTTGCAATTACACCTTAATAAAATAAACACATTTAAAAAGAAAAAGTAACAAATAATCAGTGAATAAAATAAATTAATTTGCATTTAAAATCGGTTTAAGGTTTAATTTATTTTAAATGATCTGCTCCATCTTTCATACAAAATCTTTAAATTATTTATTACATAAAAGCAAATGAAGGTGTTTTTTTTTCTTCTTCTTTGGTCAGCAATGATGTGAATTTTGCACTGCTTAGTTGGCACTGAGACGGTTGAAATGCTCCCTGTGTGGATTACAGTAAATGGCAGCAGATGGGAAAGCAGGGTAATCCCTGGTATCTGCTGACACCTCAATCTCTCTTTTTCACTTGACTTGGAGAAGGGAGAGGTGTGTGCTTAAAAAAAACCTTCTGTGTGACAGTTTTGGTGATGAAAATGTTGGACTGAACGTATCAAAACTTAACTGGAAAGATTGTGAATTGAGCAAATATAACCAAAACGTATGTAGCAGAGGAAACTGATACAGGTCTGCTTTATTTCTAAGCTCACATTTAGATTAAACAAATGAATAAATCATCAGTTAAATGATATTTTTGCAAACTTAACACACCTGCTTTTTGTTCACAACAAGAACAGTGACATGAAAAGTTAATCTTTGACATTAGCTGACAGAAAAGGAGATTATATAAAGAAGCTGCTGCAAAGATTTGTGAACCAGCATTCAAGGGCATCCTCTCAAGGACAATAAATATGTCTTGAACATAATCCCATGCTGCATTGTTTTTTTGTTCTCATCAGGACTCAGATCGTTTTACAAAGGTAAAGGCACATCATCTCTGATTGCTCTCAGACTGATTCCTAAATAAGATGTACATTTGAAGATTAAAACAGTAAATAGTTGACTAGTTTGATGTGACAGGCAACTGAGCCGGGCTTTTACTGGTGACGTGTGTTCAGTCACCTGCAGGACTGTGTGTCATCAGAAAAGTTTCCACTACATATTTAATCACTTGGCTCATGGCTCGCAGGCTAAAGATGATTGAACTGTATCTGCGTCATGAATCACAGGACTTCAGGAGCGAGGGAACGTGTCAGGTAACCCCCCCCACAGAGCAGCACCTCGCTGCTGGGAAAATCTGAATTTTCCAATTAGTGATTGATTACTGGCATTATCAGTGATCAGAAAGGAAATTTTCACCCTGCAGTTCTAAAAATCTCCAAAACTGTTGAAACAGATTTTTTATTTTTTATATAGCCTATTGTCACCTTTCTAAAATAATGGTCTACACCATTTTCTGGCAAAAATAACTTTTTGCCTAAATCATCTTCTCATCCACCGATGGTAAAACACCATCAGTTAGTCAAACTATTTTATTTTACCCCTTTAAGATAATGGCCTATATGTCAAGAGTGTGACTTAAGCTGATTTATTAAGTTTAAGTCCAAATATAATGTCAAATGTCAGCTGTTTGGTTATGTTTTTTGTGTTTCCTGAAAAGAACCTAAAAAGAATTAATTAGGTGATTATTTTTAAGGTGTCAATATAAAGAAAATAATCAAACCTCTCTGACATGTGGGTGAAACTTGTGCTATGTAATCAGACTACTCCTTACAGGGATATAT